TCGTCGTGACCTCGCCAGGTGGTGGACCTTTAGATGCATCTCGCCGGCCGTTAATTCGACCGCCTGTTGGACCCAACTGGCCGCAGACCAAGTTTGCTTGCATGGAAGAGGGGAGGCGTGGCGAGTCGGAAGAAGTCGGACCCACTCGAACGCCGTTTCTGGCTTGCGCCGTTTGAAAAGGCGGCGGAGGAGGTGTGGTGCCATGAAAGTGAAATTGAAGGAATCACCGTAAAAGCCCGCTCTGGGCGTCTCTCCCTGCCTCCTCCTCCTCCTCCTCCTTTCGCCCCCCCGTCTTCCATCTTCTCCTCCTGGTCCTCCCTCTCCTCCTCCTCCTCTTTCTCCTCTTCCTCATCCCCCTCCTCCTCCTCCTCCTCGTCCTGCTCCTCCTCTTCCTCCTCCCCCTCCTCCTCCTCCTCCTCCTCCTCCTCCTCCTCTTCTTTCTCCCCTTCCTGTTCCTCCTCCGCCTCCTCCTCCTCCTCCTCCTCCTCCTTCTCCTCCTCCTCCCCCTCCTCCGCCTCCTCCCCCTCCTCCTCCTTTTCCTCCTCCTCCTCCTCCTCCTCCTCCTTTTACTCTTAGCCCCCCCTGCCCGAGGCGGTGATTCAGGGGCGGCAGCGCTGACTGATGCGCATTCGTATCCCGCGCCCCGCATGGCGCGCCCTCCTCCTGCGGTGAGGTGGCGGCTCCTGGCGAAGCTGCTGCCGCGCTGGTTCATGCAGGTCGGGTGGCTGTGGATTGTTTTGGAATATTGGTGGCAGATCGTCCATTGGAATGCCCAGAGCGCGAGCTCAGAGGAGAGACTTTGTGACACTCCTGCAGAATTTCGCTACGTAGATGTGATTTGTCAGAGTGGGACAGGAGAGAAGCGAGGGGATGTCGACACTCTTCGGACGCCGCTGCCTTTTCATACTGCCCATCGGTCTGGCGAAAGCCCCAGCCCCCACACGAACAATAGCTGCGGGTGCACCAATTTTGCTCCGCAAGCGGGTTTTCCGCACGCCGCACTTGGTGGACACCCCTCCAGGCCGAGTTTCTTTGACACGCTATCGCAGCGGACGGTCCGACATCCTGGTGCCGATGGCATACTTTCCGCCGAGGGCGTCGAGCCGCCGCAGTGTATCGGAGACGGTCATGATGGGCACTGCGCATGCCGCATACAGGGACATTGTCGATGCGATATGCAACTGGATCGAGCAGGCTCTCACCTGGGCTCGAGGGCGGTCTGCTCTCTTCTTCGGCTTAGACCTCAACGACGGACTGGGCATTCGCCAGCGAGGAGCGCAAGTCTACGAGCAGGTGGACTCGCCCGCTCTTGGACCGCACGGGCGCCAGGTTCAGCACTACGCGGCCGACAAGATGCTGGAGTTGCTAGAGAGGTTCGCGCTCAGGGTGTTTACCAGTGATTTCGTTGTGGGCCGACATTTCACGGTGTTCGGTGCGCCACTCACATCGGCCACGTCGCCATCTTCGCCTGGCAGGCTCCGTCAGTGCAGCCGGTGATGCCGCTCAGGAGCGCCCACCTGCGCTTGAACTTGATACCGCGGCCTGCTTTGCAGGACTACGTTCCCATCTTGATGAAGGTGATCTACACGCTGCGGGCGCCGCCCGCGCGGCCGAGGACCCAGTGGGGCTTCCATCGGTTGAGCCGGGCGCTGCAGTCAGGCAAGGGGGTCTCTGCGTTCGCTCGCGAATTGAAGGGAGCCCTCTCGCGGCGCGCCGACTACTTCCACGAGCTGTGCTCTGCGAAGGCCCCTGACGAGGCTGGGGGGCGTTGGGCCGGCCAGCTGCATTCGGTCGCCCAGAAGCACTTCGCTGGGCGAGCGCCAGTGTCGCAGCGAGTTCAGCGACTTCGGCTGACCGGCGACATCTTCGAGAGGCGGGCTGCGACACTACTGCCATGGCCTTCGCCTTGGCCAGGGCGTCGCGCGCGCTGCGCGGCCACCGCCGAGTTCGCCTGGACAGCGAGGTGCGGCTCCTCGTCGATGACATGCATGAGGCTTGGCAGCGTCGGCAGTTCGCCGACGTACGGCGCTCGGGCCACCTGCTGGCAGCACAGTGCAAGGGGCCGCGGCGTAGGCGCTACTACGTCGCTGACAGCTTCCTTCCACGGCGGACCGAGATCGTGAAGCATTTCGCCAAGATCGGTGCCAAAGGCGGTCTCGATGCGATCCCGGTCGAGTTGGCGGAGTATCGCCAGCAGTGCTTGGACTCCCTGCCTAGGGCCCCGATGTGCGCGTACGGCCACCTCGATACTAGCCGTGAGGACTTCGAGAAGTTGGCTGGTGCGTTGTCTCGAAGTCGCATAGACGTCGTGCTCCCCCCACAGAGTTCCCACGGAAATACTTCGACTTGCACTCGAGTCTTGGCGTCGGTGTGATGGCCGACGGCGACGGCGGCGCCCGCGGCGCCCTGGCGATGAAGACGGGGAGGAGGCTGACGGCCCCCTTCGGCCTCGAGTTGAGCTACAGCTTCGGCATCTTCTCGCTGGCGATCGGATCGGGGTAGGACAAGTGTTTGGGGAGAGTGGCGCGCCCATCACCGAGCGCGCCCTGAAAACCATCCTCGCCCGCATCAGGAGGGCCAGGCGCGCGCCCCTCATCTGGCACCGCTATGTCACTACGGGGCTGGGCAAACGCTACAGGAAGTCCGAGTTCAACGCTGAGCGCTTCATCCACGGCCTGTGTAAGGTTGGGGCAGCTTGGCACAGAGCTCAACTGCAGCGAGCCCCACCTGACGAACCACCACCTCGAGAGCGCGGTTACCAGCGAGGTCGCAACCGAGAGGGCGCTCTTCTGTGCCAGGAAGGGCTTTTCTGTCGTCTTCGGCGCCTGGGCGTTTCGACCCCCACCGCCTTCGGCTCCTCTGCCCCCGCCGCCTTGCGCCAGACAGTCGCGACGGTGGCGCGCCCCGAGGGGCAGGAGCATTTCCACCAGCGTCGCGAGCTCAGCACTTTCCGCGTCTTGGGGGCCGACGGGGACCAGGACCTCCACTACCGTTGCGGCGCCTTCTTGGGCGACGCCCCTGCGGCGTTGTTCTTCGCGCGGGCCTTCCGCGAGCCCATCGCGGCGCGGCTTCGACGGCTTCGCGCCGCTGCCTGGGCCAGCTACGAGCTGCCCGAGAGCCCGACGACATACCCAGAGTGGAAGGCCCGCCGCTCCACCCGCCCGCCCCGCGTGCGGACGTCGACGCCGCGATCTGGCCGTGCGAGGCGCTCTGCGCGGCGCGGTGCCCGCTACTGGGCGCTTCGGTGCCTTTGGGCACTCGGATCTGCGCAGACGACACCAACCGCGCGAGCATCGCCCTTTCGGCGCGGAACGCTGACCACGTGTCTCGCCTCTCCCACTACGATCTGAAGCGCGCCCTGGAGCTCTACGGCTGCGCGCGCAACCCGCCCAAGAGCTCGCTGTCGCCCTGCTTCCTAGGCCGCGGCTCCAAGAACGAGGCGCGCCTGCTCTTCAGCGGCGCCGAGGCCATTGCGGGAGTGGTGCAGTACGACAACGTGGCTCTCGGCACCCAGGAATCTATCACGGACAGCGCGCAGACTGAGCTCAGGCGCGGGCTGCAAGCTGCCCGCAGGGGATACAATAGCATGGGCCGCTTCTGGGCGCGCAACCGCATCTGGCGACCGACGCGGATCGCGTTCGGGCCCGTGGTGCAGGAGGCGGCGCACAGTGGTTCTGAGTCTCAGCGAGACGTAACACCGACAATTGGATAAAGTCGTCTCGAGTCTTGGTCGTCGTCTTCTCGCTGGCGCCGCATGCCAGAAGATCCCTGTTCTCGCCGACGATGGTTCTCCTCGGTTTGATTGCAATGGCAAGCCGCTGCTGCGCTACAAGGCAATGACAGACGAGGCAGTATTGCGGAGGCTTGGCGTAGCCCCTGCGCAGACTGAACTTCGCGTTCGGCGACTTCGTCAGTGCTGGCGCTGGCTTCGTCTTCCTGGTCGCCACCCGCAGGAGCTCGCGGTTGTGTTCGGGGGGCTGCCGCTGGACAGGACGCCGACATTGCTGGGCGACGGCTCGGCGGCGGGCGACGCCAACCCGCGCGCTTTGCGGCTCGTCGCCGGTGTTGTCGCGCTGCTGGAGGTTGCCGAGGCGTCGGAGCTGCGGGGGGACCTGCGTACCCCATGTGGTATCTGAAAGTTGTCGCGCTGCTCGCTCGCGAGGACCTGCGCGAGAACTACCTGATGCTGGATCCTGGGCTGCCGCGGGCGCAGGCGCGGACGGCGGCGATCCCGCCGCCAGGCTGGCTACCCCCTGCTGGCGATGCTGCGGCGCCTCCGCCAACTACCACGACCTGGTGCTGCGAGCTGCTGGGCGCCGAGGGCGCCCAGTGCGGGCGCGTGTTCGCAACGCGCCGCGCTCTGATTGCGCATCAGAAGTTTCTGAACAATGCTGGTCGCGGATGTCGTTCTACGATTGGCTCCCTTGTTGTCACCAATCAGTGCTTGGTCTGTGCCAGCGCCTTAGGACTCGTCGGATAGCTCAGGAACGCGCGGCCGCGGCTTGTTTGACTCGCAGATGCCTTGTCCAGAGATCCCCGTGCTACCATGAGATCGAGGAGCCCCAGTTTTTGATGTGCCCTTTGGCTTCAATCAAAGCGTCAGCGTTGGCACCTGGCTCCAATATCCTGGAGATCGCGTGTTCGGCGGGGGGGCCCTTCGAGACCCTCGGTCCAGCATGCGCACTCGCTCGAGCTGCGCGCGCCGGAGCCTGTGCCCGAGCGATCCGCCGCAGGTGGTGTGCACGGCCTATCGCCTCTGTCCGCAGGCGCTGCAGGCAGCCGCCGCCCAGGGCCGCCCCCGCCCCCGCAGTCGCCGCATCGCGCCAGCGCGCGCTGGCCGCAGTGGCTCCGCGAGCGCCAGTAGTGGCGCGCGCCCTCGCCGCGCCTGCGGCGGCAGCCGCGGCGCCGATGCGCGCGCCGCGGCGCCAGCCCCGCAGCCCGCAGCGGGAGGCGCAGCCGCGGCCCCCCCAGCCCAGAGGGCCCGCGGCGGGCGCCGCGAGGCGCAGGGCGAGCTGGCCCGGAGCTACGGCCTGCCGCAGGACGCGCTGGATCGTCTCCCGCCGATGGAGATGCAGCTCGCGCTGAAACTCAGCCCCGTCATGGCCAGGGCGATTCCCGGCAATTCGTTCAACATCGGGCAGCTAATGGCGACGACCTACCACGCGTTGCTGGTGGCGGAGAGTTCGGTGATGGCGGTGGCCGGGTTCGCGGCAGGGCGGGCGTGCGCGGCGGAGGCGCAGAGGCTTCGCGATCTTCGCGCTGCCGGCCCCGCTCAGCATCGCGCTCCAGATCTGGTCTGGGGGCCCGCCTGCGTGCAGGTGTTTCCGCAGATCGCGCTGGCCGTGCGCGACGCGGGCGATCAGGTGGGGCTTCGCAACAAAGACGGGTGGGCGGCGATCTACGGCAGGCTCGAACCTATGGACATCGAAGCCTTGACCATGATGATCCGCGGGTGCCGAGTGTCGCAGTGCTTGAAGGAGAACCAGGCTCGGATTACGGTGGCGATCAGCGAGCACGCCATCGAGGTCTGCTTCCTGAAGTGCGCCGAGCAGCTTGGGGCGGAGATCAAACCTGGTCCCGCCCCGCGAGGCCACCAGGAGAGGCTGTTCCAGCTGGCGATGGGCCAGCTAGTCTAGACGGAAAGTGTCGGCAAGCAAGTGGACGCCTGCTGCCGAGAGCGGACATCGAGAGCTGGCAGGCAGCAGGATGCCCGCCAGAAGTGACCAGTGCGAAAGATGTGGCCACTGGCAGCGGCGACGACAGAAGCCCAGTGACAGCATCCCCGTGTGAGCCCGCGAGGGGCCCAGTGAATGATTCCTCCTCATATGTGTTTCCTCTTCCCCGCCCGACGCCCCCAACGGTTGCGGCCCTTCTCCCCCCTCAGCATAGCGGCAACAGCAAGACCCCAGCACGTGCACAGCACAGCACAGCGTAGCAGAAGCGAAGCAGATTTAAGGCAATTCGAGAAAATCAGTCTGACGGAACGTTTCAACCTCCTGGAATCTCACCGCAAGTGGTAGAGCGAAAATGCAACTCGGGGTTCCCAGGGAGAGCCCGCCATGGCTTTTTGGATGTGCGCGCGCTGCAGGTCGTACATTTCGCATGTGTTGTCCTTCGATGTGTTCCAGTGATTGACCCTTCGACCCGAACCCCGAAGCAGCGACCGACCGACAGACCTCCTCCTTCTCCTCCTCCTCCTCCTCGTCCTCCTCGTCCTCCTTCTCCTCCTCCTCCCCACCCCGCCCTCCTCTTTTTTTTCCTCCTCCTCCCTCCTCCTCCTCCGCCTCCTTCTCCTCCTCCTCCTCCTCCTCCTCCTCCTCCTCTTCCTTCTCCTCCTCCTCCTCCTCCTCCTCCTCCTCCTCCTCCTCCTCGTCACCCCCCCGCCCTCCTCCTCCTCCTCCTCTCCTCCTCCTCCTCCTCCTCCTCCTCCTCCTCCTCCTCTTCCTCCTCCTCCTCCTCCTCTTCTTCCTTCTCCTCCTCCTCCCCTCCCCCTCCTCCTCCTCCTCCTCCTCCTATCCTCTTTTTTCTCCTCTTCCTCCGCGCTTGCTCCACTTCTGCTCTTCCCTCCCCCGCCTCCCGCTCCCCTCCCGGCTCCCTTCCCCGCCCCCGTTCCTCGCGTTCCTCGCTCCTCGCGCTTCCCTCCCCGCCCCCCCCCCCTCCCTCCTTGCTCCCGACGCGCTGGGGCGCCCCGCGCTCGTCTCATATAGCGTGTAGGCCTCAGCCCGCCAGGGCGCGACCGCTCATCGCGCCCTCGCGCAATGCGAGGCGCGATGCGCGATGCGCGATGCGCGAGGTTGAGCGACCTAGAAGGATATCAGTGGGGCCGCGTCCGGCCCCCCCTGGGCGTCCGGCCAACCTTGTTTACGCGCAGTGCATGCTCACCACCTGCGTTAGCCAGCTGCAGTCGGTGGAGCTGACGAAGGCCATGCTGCAGATGCGCCTCCGAGACAAGCAGGCCCCGCGCCAGTGTCGCCCAGGTTAGCATAGAAGGACGCACAGAAGGTGGATGGGGGTGCGACGAGGAGGAGGAGGAGGAGGAGGAGGAGGAGGAGGAGGAGGAGGAGGAGGAGGAGGACGAGGAGGAGGAGGGGGAGGAGGAGGAGAGGGAGGGAGGAGGGAGGGAAAGAGGGGAGGGAGGGAGGAAGGGAGGGCGGGAGGGAGTGAGACAGGGATGGCTGGATGGATGGATGGATTGATGGAGGGAGGGATGGAGGGAGGGAGGGAGGGAGGAGCAGGAAGAGGAGGAGGGAGGAGCAGGAGGAGGAGGAGGAGCAGGAGGAGGAGGAGGAGGAGCAGGAGGAGGAGCAGGAGGAGGATGAGGAAAAGGAGGAAGCAGCAGGAGGGTGGCGGGCCAGGGTGGGAGGAGAGGCAGGGGCAGGGCTGGAAATTCGGAACGCCAGGGACTCCTCTTCGGCCTCTCCAAAAGCCCGCCATCACAGAGCCCCGTCGCTGCGCGGAAGAGGAAGGGGGTCGCCGCCCAAGGCCAGGCTTAAGTCGGGCCTGTCCCTCTACAGGGGGACTAGTCAAAAATAGTAAAACATAGTCTGGGGACGATTTGCTTAGTATTTGTGTTGACCCTCTTGGGGGGTATTGTTTGATATTAAAAAACATGTTCGTCCAAAACCCCCCTGTACGAGGACAGGCCCGACCTAAGGCCAGGCGCCCAGGTCAGAGCCCCCCCCCCGCCCTGGGGGGGGGGCCCTCGGCGGCCGGGCCGCGCTGGCTCTGCCCCGCGAGCCTCCGGCTCAAGCAGCGGCGAGGCGTCCTGGCTCGCCTGCCAGCCCCACCCACAGAGATGCTGTAAGGACCCTTTCTTGGTATCGCTCGGAGGTGTGCACTTCTTCTTGTCGGGGAGTACGAGGGAGCATCCTGGACCATCCTGCGGCAAATTTCACGCGCGAAACCGAGAAACAAAAACACAGGGAACGGACGTCCGAGCGACGGGGAGCTTTGTGGTTTCTACGAACTGTTATCCGAACATGTCTGGCCGGGATTGTCTTGTTTTAGCAAGTCGAGTTCATGACCTTAGAACATGCTTGATTTTAGGAACATGGTGGCAGGCATATAGGACTGCTGGGACGGTCGGTCTCTGCTCAACTGGCGAGGTGCCGACTGGGCCTGCGCAACCCCCGGCGGGCAAAAGTTACATCCATATCCTTAGGGGAGGCAGTGGTGCCCATACCGCTGCCATTCCCTCGTTTTCGCTCTGTTGGGGCCTCGGAGGACCTCGTCGCCACCGCTGGGTTCGCCTCGAAAGTCTGGTCAGAACGCACCCCTGGAGAGGTCCCCAGAGTAGCAGCATCGGCACCTCTTGGTTTCCCAATATCGAGTGTTCCTTGGACCTTGTTGGAAGGAGCGCCAGAAGGCCGAGGCGCACTGGATATGGATAAGCATGGGCCTCTCGGGGCAAGCTTCCATGCCCACTGCGTCTCTGATGTGTCTTTGTTTTTTCTGGTGAAGGGAAGCCGAAACTTCAAGACGCCGTGGGTATGGATACAAGGCTTGCCCGCATCCTCGATCCTTGAACCCCAGAGCTGCGACGATATCATGTTTGTTTCAATCGTTGCGTGTTTCATAGATTTCGGCCTCTTGGGGCTTTTACTGTGCCCCTTGACCATAACACATTGATCTGGGACGAAAGATATTCCTGAAGGGGGTCGGGACCTTTTCGGGCGCGGATTGAACAATCATTTCGTCGGATGTATGGGGCAGCGATCGATCGATTAACTCTCGTCCAGATCTTGGCCCTCGAGCCTTGATCGATCGCTCGCTGATTGATCGATCGTTGATCGATCGATTGACCTCGATCGATTGACCCTCGGTCCTCTAAGCCCGATCGAGTTAGGACGATCAGGTCGGACGGCAACGGGGGGGATTCTGGGCATGTCCGTGGGCGGGTCGAGAAGTTCCGTGCGGCTGCCCCCCAGGCTGCCCCCGCAGGGCCAAAGCGTGCGCGAGAGGGGGCACGTGGCAGCCTCGATGGGTCTTCCATCCTCGAGCCGCGAGCGCTCGGCCTGCCATGGGGGGGCCCATGGCAAGAGGCACCCCGCTTTGCCCTCCGGGGTGCCCTGGGTGTCTTGGGGTTCCGATGGAGAGCGTGACGTGACTGGTGCTCTTGGTTTTCGATGGGTTTCTTGGGTTGGGTGCCCTGGTGTCTTGGGTTTCGAGGGAGATGGTGCTCTTGGTGTCTGGGGTGCCGTGGAGGGCGTGACGTGCCCACACGAAGGATTCAGGCACGTCCCAGGGTCTCAGGGCTGGGTGTCTCGTGGACGGTTTCTCGTGGACTGGCCTCCACTGCGTGTTTTTGATGTTTTTCCTACACCAGAATTCGGATGCAACTCCTGGGAGGTCAAATTCTGATTTAGCCCTGGTCCGAAATCCCGCTTACTGCGGCATAATCCCGCTGAGTCCCGTTGAATCCGGCTTCATCCCGCTCAATCCGGCTTAATCCCGCTTGAGCCGAGGCCCCTTCTGGCGCAACAGCCCCCCATTGGGGCTTAATCCTCCTGAACCCTTCCGACGAAAAACCTCCCAGCAGTTGCCTCCTAACACGAAATAGCACGAAAACCTGTCTCCTTGATCCCTGGTCGATCGGCCCTGCAGTTTAGGATGGTCCGTCGCCTGACACTGGACAAAAACTACTTATGTGTACTTTTCTTTGGATTTTTCTCTGCCTATTTACCCTTCCGACAACAACCTCCCAGTAGCTGCCTCCTGACACGGAAATATGCATCCTCGACCCTCGCTCGGCCGACCGACCCCCCCCAAATGGGGCCCGCTGCCCGGGCCCGCGGGCTCCCCTCGCCCTTCGCCGCCGCCGCTGCCGCCGAGCGGCGGGCCGTCCACGCCGCAGCCGCCGCTTCGCCGCGGCCCAGCTAGGGGGCCACACGCGAACCCTGCCGTGAGTCTCAGAGGAGGAAAGGGTGCCCAATACCTCTACCCTTCCCTCGCGCGTTCCCCTGTTTGGGCCTCCTGGGAGGCCCTTTTCGCCAGCGCTGGATTCGCTTCGAGATCTTGGTCAGAACGCTCCCCGGGAGAGGCCCGGGGAGTAGCGGCATCGGTACCTTTGGGCTTCCCCAGAGTCGGTGGGGATTCGGGGTCACAGCACGGTTGTGGGACTCGAGCCACTCTGCGAGGACGACCAATGGAGAAACAGCATGGTGCCAAATAATTTCCAGATGCCTAAAACATTTTGTCAAACATGTTTGAGACATGTAAAACACATGTTTTGCACATGTTTAGAACATTTTCCCGACATTCTAAACACACTTTAAATTCAATGATCGGATTGTTGGGGTGTCCATTGTCGTGGCATCCACAACCCAAACGGTGTGGTGACCACACCGTGAGGTGGGTCGGTGGGGATTTGGGGTCGCCGCACGGTTTTGGGGCTCGAGACCCTCTCCGAGGACGTCTCGGGCGACAGGGGGCCTCCAGGGTCCCAAGACCGTGCGGGGACGGACCGTCCGGTGAGGTCTTGGGGGATTTCGAGGTCATGCACAGTCTGTCACCGTACCGTTTCGGGACTCCAAAGAAAAGCCACCCAGACCGGACAATTGGTGTTTATGAAACGGCCCTGGGCCATTACCAAACAGCGTTGCCTTGTTTGATGCTTTCTTGGGGTGCGTTTATCAAACGGCTTCGCGTGTTGGGGTGGTTCTCATCGGGGTGGATCTTCTGCCCCCTGCGCAGGGCGATCAGGGCGCATCGGGCTAACGCTCGACATGGGTATGGAAAGGTGGGGTGCGATGCCCAGCAGCAGTTCCTGTTCATTGCGCACAGGACTCTCGCTGTCCGCGCCGCCGCGAACGCTGTTCACTGAAGACAAGAAGCCGCCTGCCCAACAGCAGCCGCTGTCGGTTTTGGACAACATTTGATTTTCGGCATTGTGCCCATGTTTTCCGTTCCCCATTCGGGCTTCCAAAGCATCGGGTTGACGTTCCTTCTTTTGCGGGGCCCTTCTAAAGGGCTGCTGACGCTGTGCGTGCACAAGGCGGGGGCGACATCCGAACCTTGCCCTCACCGATCACCGATTCAGTGCAACTCGATTGGCGGCGGGGGTAGGGGTGGGAATTCGTCGGACATGTGGCGGAATCCAAACTTTAAGCCCCGCCTACCATCGGTTCCTGAGAATCGATGGTTGGTGAAGATAGGGTTCGGATGTCGCCACCTAGCAAGGGCATGGGAGCTTGCCCCAACACACAGGTCTGCGCGCCTTTGAGGCCGCCCCCGTCCGTGACTTGGGAGTGGAGAGCGGGGGGGGAGAGACGAAGCAGAGGGAGGAGGTGCAGAACAGCGAAGCAGCGTCTGAGAGTCGAAGGTCGGTCTCTGCCGTGCTCCCGAATTGCCTCGCGGCTTCGTGCTCCGCGCTGATGAGCGGTTCGAGGTGGGGATAGTCAGCTGTCGCGATCTCTCTTGCAATATCGCCCTCCTCTTCCTTCACTCTTTCTGGCGGGTGTTTACATACGTATGCACACATACATAGATGTGTATATATATACACCGCATAGACCACCCTTCGGGTGATAAGGAGGCGAGGGGGGGCACCGTCGCACTCGATCGATCTCACTATCGATCTCGCTATCGATCTCATTATCGATCTCATTCGATCAATCTCACAATCGATCTGGTTATCGATCTCACACTCGATCTCACACTCGATCTCACTATCGATATCACAATCGATCTCACAATAGATCTCACAATCGATCTGGCTATCGATCTCACGATCGATCTCACATTCGGTCTCACGATCGATCTCACTACTGATATCACTATCGATCTCATTCGATCGATCTCACAATCGATCTCACAATCGATCTCACATTCGGTCTCACTATCGATCTCACTATCGATATCACAATCGATCTCACAATCGATCTCACAATCGATCTGACTATTGATCTCACTATCGAACTCACTATCGAAGTCATGATCGACCTCTCGTTCGATCTC